ACACAAATGCACACCACGTTTTCTCATTGAAAATTTTGTACATTTATAAATATCAATGTCCTGGTTACAAAAGCAAAGATTGTGGGAAATAATAGCCATTTTCTGTACTTTTGAGGCATAAGCAATTAGGAAATAACACTTACTACCCAGGAACAAAAAAATATATTTTTAAATATATTTTTATATATATTTAAAATATTTTAAATATATTTTTTGTTACACAGTGTATATAATTAAACCAGCATGTGTGTAAAGCTATATTCAATTTGCTTGCTGCAAGCATGGTTATGCCACAACCCCCCGGATCATCGAGAGTTAAGTCGATATGATATTGCCTTAGCCTAGTAAATAAAGGGACTAGTTTATGATTATGGGTTTTGTAGCGAAATCTCTCATTACACCAAGTTTCTGACGTGATAATTTTCCTCTACATGCTTTTGGATTGTTTCTCAATTTAAAAAAATCGAGTAATCTTGAAAAAATACCGATCCACACTAAGCGTGGACATCATTTCACGCGGGAAAAATAAGTAATATCGTGTTCTCCGGATTATAAGACGCTCTAGAAAGTAAGACTTTCCACAAACTTGTGCCGAATGTCAATATAATTATACAAATCTGGTTGCAATACACAATTGCACACCTACCGGATTATAAGATGCATTCTCAACTCTTTCTTTAAAATAAGGTAAAAAAAAAGTGCATCTTATAATTGGAAGATATAGGTGATGCACATTGAGTGTTACCTACGACTATTAACCGTATTACAGTAATGCATTACAGTAAGTATTTAAAATTCACAACCCTTGCTTCCTAACACTGCACAGATTGAACGCTAAAAGATAAACATTTTAAATAAAAAAGTAGTTTTTCATGCCTCAAGTTCCCTGAAGATACACTCTCTGCCTTTTCTAACCGTAGCAAAAAACGTTTTGTGATGTCAGTCACAGCGCACCTTTGTGACATCATTTACCAGGGCACACGGCATATAAACACTGCATGTAATGATGCTCCAAGGCTATTTTTACATTAAATAAATGGAACCATATTTTATTACATTCTACCATGTAATTATTTATTTCTCGAAATGTTTCTAATTATAACTCACCTCTGAAGAAGCTGCGTGGTTTTGTTGGAACCATCTGAGACAACCCGTTTTTACTGAAACGGTTTGTATCACATATTTACAGCTTATGAAATAGAACAACTCATGATTTCTTAAAATATAATAATGATGCCTTGTAATAATAATAATAACTTCTGACGATTTTACAATTTTCACATTCGTGCTGGTTGAACAATTTTTTTACACATTGCTAAAAAAAACATAAAATACAGGATTGATACTTTGTGCCAGATATTGGTAAAATATAAATACAGTGTATCTAACATTCAAGGTCAGGAGGTCACCATGGCATCACAGGCAATGTCTCTGATGCCACCAGACCTTGGCAATGCTTCCTTCTGCGAAATCTCACAGCTTCTGTTCCAACGACATTGGATCTCCAAGGACACACAGTATCCTAGCCTTTGGCTTAACAACAGAGTGGTCAGAGGTTTCAAAAGAATGAGTGAGGACTAGGCTGTACTAGAAGTGAGGTCTACAATTAGAGGTCATGGAGCCATTGTAGGAGAGCAGCCTTGGTGGAAACCATGCAGAGCGTACTGGGTCACGGGGACCATTAACAGAGAGCTATTTGGAGGGTGGGAGAGAAGATAACCCCTTCTGAGTCTTTTACAAGAAAAATACATTTTTAGACAGAGGGATATTTTCAGTCATTAAGTGGTCAATGTGTGTGTTTTTTTAATGCTGTGCGCATACGTTTTTTTCATTGTTTTATTGATGTCCCCGTTTATGAACCATATTTCATAGCAGGTAGTATGCACTTAATGTTGCATGCAGTTACATTGAGAGACAAAAAGAGGACACATGGATTAGGAAATATATGAACAGGTTAGAAGACATCATTCTAATTGTTAATAAAAAATAAGCGGGCTTGGGCAGGACACATCATGAGAAGTGACGATGACCAGTGGTCAAGAATAATGACAGAGTGGTAGCCACAGAATGGAATGAGTCTTGGGAGGAGATCCACAGATGTGATTGAGCAATGAAATCAACTATTGTGCAAGTGCTATTTGGATTATTACATCGCAGGATCACAAGAGATGGTGGCGGCTTTGAGAGGCCTTCATCCAGCAGTGGATTGACCATTGCTGATATTTTTTGGGATGGAAGAGGCAGCAGCAGTCTGGGGAATGTACTCGAAAAGATGGAACATTCCTGCATTGAAAAAGCTGGTCATGTTTAAAGAACCACGACCATCAAAGATACTCAGATGTTTATTTGAGGTATATCTGCTAAAACTCATGTGCAATATATCTAATTTAGGGTTCGCTGAACACAGCTAACTCAGCGTTATATTGTTAAACAATTTGTTCAGGAAGCAGCACGCGCCTCATGTCAACCCATTCCCTTCACCGGCTCCCCACTCCAGCACCGACCTCTTGCACACACGCACACATGCACACACGCACGCACGGCATAAAATCCTACCCCGTACTCCCCCCACACAGGCTCAGTACCCAGGTTATTCCCTTCTGGTGTCCCCTGGGTGATTGAGAATGAAAGTTATCAAAAATATTCAAACGCTGCAATTCTCGCAAATAAACTAAAACAGCATTGAAGGTTTTATTTAATTATAATTTCTATATATTTTGTGAGCTTTGTAATACTTGTTTATTTATTACACGGACAATCTATACATTTATCTTTCAACGCGTTGATAATTATAATCATGACATTCTCCGTCATCGCTACATCTTCCCACCTTGAATTCATGGCACGTAGTGATTCAGCCCCATACGATGTAATGGAGTGTCACGATTCAGGGTCACAATTTGATCCAGGAATCTATTGTTTTTTTAGCCTATTTGTAACGTCTAATTTCCACTCTTATGTCACATTCGTGCCGTTCTATTCATCAGCGCTGACTCTTTTGTGCTGTTTGTACTGTCTCAATGGCACTGTCTTTCGTGCTGTCTCCTTTAGCTTCATCCAATCCGCCCGCTGTGACAAGTGTTTCGTAAAATCGGCACGAATTGAAAACATATTGATTCTTGCACACATGATGCAGAGCATGTGTCACCAACGTCAGCAGCAATTTTAATTGATGAATTGTCACGTGCCTCCCGCAAGTTTTTGCTGCTCTTTGCACGGGGCTTCATTATTTCACTACTGGACTTATGTTTGCAATCAAATCAGGCGAAAACAGGGGGCCCGTCATGCACCAGCGCAGGGAGAACTTTTTAAATACAGCTACATTTTAAAGTTAAATTCTGTGCAGAAAAAAACTAGGACGTATCATTCAGAAGGGAGAAAGCAAATTCTCTACACGCGCATGGAAATATGTTCAGGAGCTAAATGCCAATGTCGAGGTTTGTAATCTTGATATTCCTCCATTGAAAAGGGCACAGACTACAGTGGTTTACTATATACGGGGAAGCATAATAACTGAACGTGCATCGATATGCACGATGTATTTCCTTTGGCTGATTTCGTCATTTTTAATTGAAAGCAATGTTACTCATTTTTACTTGTTTCATAAAAATACGTTTTAATCATATGAGGCAGGGAGCTGTCTGATAAACTTATTTATGGAACGTAATATATGATTATACTTTCGGATGAAATGTAAAATTTTGGTATTGTAAAAAGCAGCGGCATGCTAGAGAGAATATTTGTCTTATGCTTAGCCGTAAATTTGCAATGCAATACAGGTGTATATGTTACTTTATTACATTTGCAGACGTGGAATTGCCAGCATGTTTATTGTGATTTATGGACAATCGTTTAGGACTGGAATGCTACATTCAGCTTTAAGTAAATGATGGAGATGTTATTGTGAGAATTAAACCTATGCCATGTAGTTAATGATCTGAATGTATATCTTGTTCTAGGGTAGCCGCCCCATGTGGGGCATTAAATAATTTCGTTTTGGAATAAATCCAACATTTTCATTGGGCCTTGTTTAGCTCTATGATATTAAGTCGAGTTATAAAAATTAATAAATAATTCGGCAGCTTTGCTCACGGTATTGCATACGCTGATGATAGTAAACACACACCATAAACTAGTGAGAAACATCTGTGTGGTTTTGTGGAATTAGAGCTCTTAATTGAAAACTTGTTATTTCAAATTGCAGCCAGTCAGTGTTTCATCCATCTGTAGTTCACAATATAATGGCCATACTCTTTGGTTATTTCGGTAAAGTCACGTAGGTATAATATAAAATAAATTAAATCACGACGTTTCGGGAGCAACACAAGCGTCTGTCATCAGGTGGGACAACCACAGCAAGAAACAACTGCTGAAGTGGGCAGAATTGTTTCTTGCTGTGGTTGTCCCACCTGATTATGGACGCTTGTGTTGCTCCCGAAATGTCGTGATTTAATTTATTTTATACCTACTTGACTTTACCGAAATAACCAAAGAGTATGAATCCCTGCAGTCACGAAAACTTCAAATATAATGACCACTTAATGGGGAAGTCAACAGCCGTCGTTGTATTGAATGACTAATTTGCAACGTAAGAATTTGGCCTTTTTACCACTTGCTTATGAACACTGTCCCATGATTTTTTGAGTAAGAAGCCAATAATTAGTATTTTAACAAGTGAATGTAGATATTGGAACATTTTATCTTACCCATATAACCTTGTTGCAGGCTTCCAAAAGTCCCCATTTCCATTTTTGCTAAATGTATACAATTTTCATGCATTTTTAAGATGCTTAAGGCAGCTGTGCTTACACAGTTTTGGACTGTTTGGATTGCCTTGACAGGTAACGGTGAGTATCACTAATAATACAAGGGATGATATGAACCAAGCGGCTGTGACATCGGTTAGGAAGTTATGCGGCTTCTACCGTCATTCTACATTATTTCTGTAAATGCCCCCTTCCTGATTGCAATGTTAATGATGCACGGCGCCTGTCTCCCAGCGCAAGCAGCTGTCGGAGAGTGCGGAGAGGATCCGTGACGAGGGGGCAAACAACGTCCTGCACATGGCAGCCGCCAGCGGGCAGCTCGAGTGCCTGCAGTACCTGGCCTCTGCCCTCCCCGAGGACGGGCTTTTGGAGCGGAATGCAGAGGGCCTCACACCCACGGCCACCGCCATCAAGGTCCATCATTAGCACACGCCCCCCCACACGCATGGCAGAGATCCACTGCTCGAGCCATAACGCCGCCCGCTGTGTCGAACGTCTCATCCTTCCCGGACGTAATTATCTGGCAATTAAATTAGAGGGAATTGCATGCGTGGCTGGCGGTGCTAACGCACGAAGCTCAAATTGTTTACCATCATCGTTGGCAAAACGATGATGCGTGATTTTCTGCAAGATGTCCTCTTACAGTAGGTGATTGAGATAAAAGGGCGCCCATTTATTTTCTTCACCGAGCATCTCTTTGGACTTGTGCAATTGCTTCTGATAATGTCCATTTCCAGGTTTATTGTGCCAAAGAGATATGTCAATGAAATCTCACAAGGTGCTCACTTTGATTCTGATCCAAATGAAATGAAAAAAATGTAATCAATATGTCGCTCAATATCTATATCAAGATCAAGAGGTCATCATGGTCAATGGTATTGATGGCACTACACCTCCACATCACACTTCCATCAGTCAGATCCTTCAACTCAGCTTGGCATAACCCTTTTAGAAAATAATGAAATGCAGTATTGTTCTTAAGTAAAACTATGCTATGGGACAGTAAAGTTTACATCAGTTTATTTTTATGCCCTTTTTTCCAACTGGTGCTGTTGGTGTCATGTAATTAGAAAATATAGATTTCCATTCAAAAATTTGTGGCTAGCTTTGCATCATCCTGTGCCAGAGAATGGCTATGGAAGATGATGTCAGAGAACTGCTTCTGAAGCCAATAAACCTCTTCATCCACACAAGGGGCACACATTTAATACCCTGCAAAGTATTTTTTATTGCATGTAAATGTTAAAGTCTCAGGGCTAGAATAAGCAAAATAAAGTGAGAAATCTAATTTAACATGATGGGGTTTTTTTGGTTTGTGTGAAGTCATTGGTCACCAGACTGGGACCAACAACTTTCTGTACCTGAGAGCAGAGTTTAAATACAGGTGGCTGCCAGTATTTAAGTCCAGTGTCTCAGCAGATCCGGTCACTGAAGGACTACCTTATCAAGTCGCACTCATTACACACAAAGTGCCTTCCACAAATTAACCACAATACCATGCTGATCTTATCAAGAAGCATAAACCATCACGCCAACTGCGGTGATCCTCCGAGTGGCTTTCCAATGCACTTCTACAGCCATCTGTAAAGCTCTTCCTTCCGATATTAGGAAGCCACTGGAGCTATGCACTTTAAATCTATATTGGGAACTCATTTCTTTATAACTGATTTTTGTGTTTAGTTTGTTATCCTTCCCCCACACCTCCGATTAGCATGGATGGCTATATATGTGGCGAAAGAAGTTCAGCATACATACATTGGTAACCAGACATTGGTAACCATCAACTTGCTCCACTTAACAACAGAGTTTAAACACAGTTGGCTGCCAAGGTTTAAACCCAGTGGCACTGGCTCAGTGCTAGGACCCCTGAGCAATATGACAACATTCAAGCTCTACTCTTCTACCGATAAATAATTAATCAGTCATCAATATGCAAAAGCCTTAAAAAGCAAGCGCTTTAATAAGTGTGCATTATTAAGACTCTGTTATGGAAAACATATTGCTATGAGTGCCATGAGTAAATCTCATGTGTGTCGTAAATGGTTTCTATTGGAGGCCAATCAATCAGCACTCTCTGAAGTGACCGGTGGGTACAAGTCCAACAAAATACCATCAAACAGACAACAGAAATAACTCAAAATTACATCTCCAGCAATCACAGCTGCATCTTGCTTAGAAAATATCGACTTCAAATCACATCCATCACATTCCCATTGTAGTAAATTGCTGAACTGTATATTTGGGTAAAGTTTTGTAAACTTATTAATACAATTTACACCACAAGCACAGCAAGATTTTGAAAATTACTGGGCCTAATTCCAGCTCCATACTTGACATGTGGAAGCTATCACGTTTTGGAAAGTCAACTTCATCCAGTGACACTAGGCTGTTTTGATATTGGAGCCTTCGAATTAAAATGCTTGGATATGTATATTCATTTTTACATATGGCTTGCAAAAAAACCATGGGCTAATGTGCACAATTTGTCTGCATATTTGATCAGTTATATCTCATGGACCATGATGCAAGAGCTTGGGTGATGAAAACTACATTAACCACACATCATTTATTTTCACAGCACTTACCAACTTTAAAACTTCGATTCCTCTTGACTCAGATGTGTACTTTCTGAGCAAGCAAGTATAATAACTTACCTCTAATCACCATAATCTCTGTTAATTCTATCAATATTTTTTATTCATACCTGCTCATTATTGGATGAGCACATATGTTTCATGTTGAATATCTTTCTGGGTAATTAATTTGAGGTATTGACTATGAATGGATCTCAGATCTCTCAACTTTGAATAAGGGTCATTGTCTCACCATATTTGCCTACTATATATGTATTCTTTGGGTCTTTCGGTAAAGTCACGTAGATAGGATCAAAGACATTAACAATAAACTATGACGTTTCCATCGCAACACAAGCGGTCATCATCAGGAAAAGGGGGGTTAGCTTCTAAAGCGATAAGGGAGTGTTAGTAGATATGATGAGGCGTTTTCAGAGTCCATATCTGTACACTATCGCCTTTAAACTTTAATGAATACTAAAGAAAAGCATCTGAGTAAGTTTTGTTCATTCTTTATATGAGAATAATGTGGGGAGCGGTGGCACTGTGGTTAGTGCACTGAGCCACAAACCCAGTGACCTGAATTTGAACCAGTAGTCAGTGGCATTTGAACTGATCCTGTCTCCACCCACTGCCTTAACCAACCCACACTCATCAGCGTGACGAAGTATGCTATTAAAAAAATCGAATCACAAACACGGTCTCGGAAGTGGATTGTCAAAGGGGCTGTGAACTTTTTTTTATTATGCAGTTTAACACGTAGGCTTTCGCGACCAATATTAATCATAATAAACGTTTTTGGGTTAGATCGCGTTATTTATTCATGTGTCGTAACCCTCCACCACCCGACACGGCCAATCAGTAAAAAATGTGTCACGTTGACAAAAGACAATTAGTTCACTACTGAACTACTAAACTATTTGTCTTTTGTCAACGTGACACATTTTTTGCTGATTGGCCATGTCGGGTGGTGGAGGGTTTGCAACACATTCATAAATAACGCGATCTAACCCAAAAACGTTTATTATGATTGTTTTTATTATTATTAATATTTGGATACAAATAGCATCAAGTGAACTACCAATTGTCCAAACGTCAGTTCTGAACTGCTTGCTGATGTTAATGACAAACTATGCCAGCGAATGTTATGTTTGTAGTATTGAAGCGTAATATTATTGGTCCTGCTATGTTTAGACAAATTATTTGACGATGCTGCATTTGGCAGTGGTGTACAAGCACAGTCAACAAAAACAACTCAACACATTCGTCAATAACATTCATTTTTAGGCAGTGTTATTGACACGTATCTGCAATGTAAGGGTATCTTATTTTGACTCTCATAACCTTTGGAATTTACATAAGAACAGCAATACGTGGCTAACCATTAAGGGGCCGTCCATAAATTATGTCACGCGATTTTGGACCCCCCCCTCGTCACACGGCGTCACAAAAAGTCAGACCCCCCCTCAAATGTAACGTCAGAAAGCTCTGCCACCCCCCCCCCCCAAAAAAAATATAAAACATGCATCAAATCCCTTTAAACTATTGTCATTGTAGTACGTATTTAATGTGGCGCTACACTCTGATGTTGTAGGAGAAAACATTTATGAAAAAGTCTATTTAATTAAATAGAACGTGTTGTCTATATTTATTTAAGGTTGCGCATTTTGATGTGACGTCACATTTCTCAAACCCCCCCATTGTCACACATCGTCACACATGTCCGACTCCCCTAGGTGTGTGACGTCATTTATGGACGGCCCCTAACACACATATACCATTCTTGGCAATGCAGGTTTTTCCGTGCAAATATTACATTTAGAATGTGTAAATGGATAAGATGTGATAGGGTGTGCAATGAGGACCACTTGAAAAGTAAAACATTTACATCTTGCTGGCCAGCATTATCTTGAAAGTTTTGTAAGCTATGTCAAGCTATGTCAAGCGCCTTGAGTGAAGATGCTCTGTGAATATAAATTAGATCCGATTATAACCAGTGACTAATATGAACATTTGATTGTGTACAGTTCTCCTGTACACTGACACGTAATAAAGTGGCACGTGAAAGCGTACCACACGTAGTTGATGTCAACGGGGTCAACCTTTTTGGGAAACATTTCTATTTGTGTCAGATAATTTGGCTAATTTGGCTTATTGACCCCTGCGCTGCTTATCAGCTCTACCATGTACAATAACCTGGTACATGACATGAATTCCTTTTTCCAAATATTACAACAGATGGATCACGTTCCATTGGCGAGGGGGGGGGGAGAAGCCATTAAATCTCAATGGTCTTCCCGTTTGTAAATATTTTCCTAGTTGTGTCTATATGTGTAGCCTCACTGTCTAAGCATCCCATTATGGTCTTTTGGTAAGAGGCAATTCTTTGTGCAGGTGGAGTAAGCCATATATTTTTTGTTACATGGTCCCATGGCAACAAACTACTTGTTTCATATCTTTGCTCTAAAATTTGCTTCACTATCTTTAAAATCTTTGAAAAACGATCCTGGTATACATATTTTAAATGTATGGTATACCGAGAGATTACTGGGTGGCTCTGCGGTCAGAACACTGAGCTCGCAATAGTTTTTACGTTAAAACCAGGTTCTTAAGTGGTAGACAATTGTCTTAACCTGGACACTAATTCCTGCTCAACGATCCCCATCATTTAAAATTAGATGTTGCCCTTGTTTTGTCTACATTCCTGCTCTGTGAATTAAATGTATCGGTTTCACTTTTATGCGACCATCTCTTGGCAGAGTGTATGGGAAAGTGCGCCCCTACTCTGTGAAGGTCAAACACGAAGTGTAGACGCCATTTCGGGCAATGGACCTTCTGCACACCGCACATCGAAGAAAGGCCACTGCCCCAAACAGCACCTAATATGGACTTGTTTTAAGGCAGTGTTATTGATGGACGAGTTACATTATTTGAGCTTGTGCACCACCTCCAACGTAGTTTCGCCAAAGGATATATTGTATAAGCACTTGAAGGAAGTTTTTGTACATGTGTAGTGACGCACATCGGAGACAGTAAGACTTGGAGGCACTTTTATTTAACAAGCACTATCGGCATAATACACAACACCCTACGTGGGTGCAAACTATTATAATTAAGACGGTCTATTGTCGGCGGCACTGCTTAGTTATAACAGTTGGTAGGCCGTCTGACTAGCAGTGCCCCGGGATGGTGAAGATGGAGACAACGATGGGGAGATGATGACGACGACGATATGGTGACGGCAATGATCTTGAACAGCACGACGGGGATTCCACTTCCAGCAACAGCCCCGAGCTCCCGCTCAGGGCCCCCTCTTATACCCCCAGCGTGGCCTTGCTCCGCCTCGGCCATGCCCCCTTTCTGGAACCTCCTAGCCGGTTCACGATGGGCCTCTTCTGTGACCTTTCCCCTAAATGTCCCCCTCTCGTATATATCGTGGCCTTCTGACGCGAGTACTGCCGTACACCTCGGTTACTCTTTTCCGCCAGCAACCATCGCTATACCACTACACGTACTTATGTTGAACCTCTTTCACACCGTATGGAGGTGCGGGAGGACAGAAAACTAAACACAAAAAACTGTTATGAAGACGTAAGTTTTCAAACTAGAAAAAAAAAACTATATTCTTTGGTCCTTTCGGTAAAGTCACGTAGATAGAAGAAAAATAATCAATTGAATAAAAATAAAAACCACGACGTTTCGATCGCAACACAAGTGGTCGTCATCAGGAAAAGGGGGTTAGCCTCTAAAGGCAGAATGTTTATAGAGGTTTAAAATGGGACTCCCGTGAAATATCTTATCCTTAGGCAGTTCTCTGATACACAGTGCGCACTTTTCCTTTAGATTTTTTTAAAAATTGATTTGTTGTCAAATGAATATGACACTGATGCCACAATTGAAATAGATTGGCGGGGAAAAGGACCCACCAATTACAAACGAAAGTATGGTATCGTGGTTCATGCATAATAGGTGGTTTGTATTCACGTTTATAGTGCAGTGGAATCATTGAGCTTGAACTCCCATCAGCTATATTGGGTCAATCCAAACAAACAACTGCACAATGCTTGTGTTCTCGCATATCGAGAGGAGTGATAACGCCCATTGTTGACTCGTACACTGACCTTGTGTATATTGACGTGTCAAAAACTTTAACAATGCCATTTTCAACAATTACGAAATTAATGTACCCTCATTAGCAGTTTCATGAATTCATTTCAGTACCTTTTTATAGAGCGTATATTGTTTTCCCTAAATGATATACATACAGTGAAGCATGTTCAAGACTCGGCGTTTGAATGCCGTGCCTTTAAATAAACCCGGCCATGTGTGTCACCTTCAGCAGATGGCTATTACAACCAATGCATTTCATAACCCATTTACAATTGTATTTTTAATCCGTGGTAAATCCGGCAGTATATAAATAAACAAATGGACATATATTTTTAAAGCCCCTGTTAACAAAATCGCTAGTCATTACTTTTTCTTATTACAATCATTAATCTTTTCATCTGCAGCAATATATTATTTGTTAACTGCATCCCATCATACAGAGGATTTCAGACAATTGTGGAGGCATAATTAATATCCTGTATTTGCACGGCACCTTTTGCATTGTCTGCAGGATGTGGTATTTCCAGCCGTTGCTGGAGGCTCTAGACTCATTTATAGAAAGGCTGCTGAAACTCACGGTCACCTCGTGATACAGCTTGTCGCAGATCCTTCACCCCTCTACACCAAAGGATGGTGGATGTGAAAGGGTTAAACGATCCACATTGGTATTACGCTAAAGTCCGAGAAATCTGCTCTCCTCTCAAATGTGTGCTACACTGATAATGTCCAGCGTGGTGACATTCAGTATAATGCTAAATGCTAAATGGAAATTCACTTGTTACAGTGGTGCTTAAGACAATGTAATAAATCGCACGGCTGCTTTTAAAACAGGGTTACAAGAGCACCCTAAATCACACGCAGGGTCGTGCGTTAACTGTTTCACTATTGCACACGTCACACGGGTTTGTCCAATGTTCATTAGCAAATTGTGAACAAATTTGCAATTATATTTTGAGCAATAGTCTTAGTCGGTTTTCATTTTTACATGTAACTAACAACTGAAATGGCATCAACATGAAAAACATTTTTTTTTACCTCTGACATTATGCAACAGCTAATTCAGCTTTTGGATTGTTTAGCATAACTATATCGTCATCCTGATCCCTCTGTTGATTTCTAAGCCACGTTTCCATTCACTTGTCGAAAAATAATCAATTAAAAATAAGATTATGGATTTTCAACTAAACATTTGTGGAAAGTACATTTCATCCAGCACGGGATATTATTAACAATTTCATATTTTATTGTTTTATATTTTTATTATTTTATTGTTTCCCTTCTATGTGACTTTACCGAAAGAACCAAGAATATGAATGCCTGCAGTCACGAAAGCTTTACATCAAAATTTCATATTTTGTTAATATTTGAAACATAGCAAATCCTTTCTCATATTTATACGTAACAAGCACCGTCCGCGAATTAAATATATATATATAACTTCCACCGCAGCCTTGCCCGGTTGCGTGCCCATTGCATAAGCATTTGGCATTAAGAGCAATCGCTTCATCATGGCGTCATTCAACCCTATAAGGTAATGTCACCGCGCCCAGGCCATAGGCGTTGATTGAGGGATGATGACGTCATGTGGAACGGATTTAAATGTAAATCACAGGAAACTCAACTTACAGACGATTCCACCAGTAATATGGGAGTCACTCATCCAGAAGATTTTGGCTCCCATCGGATTGTACTGGATGTTACTTTTCTACATTTTTTGGAGGTAAAATGCTGTTAATATCGAAAGGTTACAGTTTTGCAGGCACGTCTTTGCCAAGAGATGCTTTGTTTAACGCGTTATTCGCATGACGTACCATTTGGAAAATACAGAGCATGGCGAATGGACACGCGCATTATATATATACTTTGTAATTTATCTAGGAAAGCCACACTGAGTCACCAGACTCTTTTTCAGGAAGGTGCTGCATTAGGTTTTTATTTTAAGATGTTTTTAGCCAATTAATGATCGTTTATACAAGCGGGACGAAACCAGAGCACCCGGAGAAATCTCTCGTGTGTGAGGGGGCAACACTGTATCCCCGTACAGATGGAAACAGATGGCAATTAGTCCACTTGCTGTACTGCCTTCTCCTGGCGAGCCAGGGTATGGCACCTTGACACCCACAGGAAAGGGAGAGTCACTACATTTGTGCAATCCACCAACCCTCACTGCCTCCACAGTGCTGGATTACAGTGCCACATGCATAGCCACCACCACCCAGCTATCTGTTTTATTTATGTAAAAACATGATTAATAATATTGTTTGGTATAGCGATCAGATTTACTATTAGAATCTCTTATTGTACCATTTTCTGGCATAATCGAGCATGTATTCTATTACCATTCATATATTGATCTTTAATCGAGGCAGTGATTGTCAGTAACATTCATATTTGCAATTTATTGAAAGCCTATACGCATTCAAATTGCCTAGTTATTAGAAATATTTTTGGCAAAAGTAGAACATTTGTAAAAAAAAATTACAACTTCGATCCTAAATCTGCCTTACAGTGGTACACCAAAGGGCACCATCTGCAGTAAAGCATACACTAGGAAGTATATTATGGAGTAATTTACGAGAGCATTCCACCCTGTGCCTAAATGACAGATACTTCATTCAACTGTTATGCACGTGTAGTAATAATATGAATGCATTCCTGGTATGTTCAGCAAAATTTGTTTCTCTCATATGAAGGTTCATATATATATAGATACAATGGCATGAATATACAGACAATTGAATTGTTATAAAGTTTTTAAATTAAATGACTAACATCAGAGAGAAGAGGTCATTGACCAAAACGTTGCTTTGCTTTTTCTTCCGTCCCCCTCTTTGAGGCGGCGCTGTTGACGAACGTGTGTCGCGTTTGTGTGCTTTTGTTGTTTGTGCTCGCGCGCAGCCTGCGTCGGCAGCGTTGTGACAAGTTGTCTGTCTGCTTCATTTCGATCAGAATGGTCATCTGGAGAGCGTCATGTGGCTGGTGTCGGAGACCGAGGCGGGCGCCGAACTGAGCGTCTCCGTGGAGAGGCCCGCGCTGATACACTTCGCGGCACGCTTTGGACAGGTAGCGCAGCGCGTAGCGGCCGAGCCCACGCTGTGCCCTTCCGCTAATGTCATTACGCGTTAAATCGGGTTGCGGAGACATCCTAAATCACCCGGGGCTTTGGACTTGCCAAGATGCCCCCTTTGGGGTCGCAAAGCTGTCGCCGGGTTTTGATCGCCATCGTTTTGTTATTTTATGTGCCGAGGCGCACGGTCTCGCTCTTTAACGGAGCCTGCGTTCGTCGTGCATACAGATGAGCACGATCTGCATACCTTGAGCGCTCGGCTGCTCCGAACACACTATCGTGCATTGCAAGTGCATAGGACCAAATTGATTTTCTCTGCGCACTTGTAACGCATCTTCCATGCATCGCTTGTGATTTTTATCGTCACGCAGAAACCTTATTTTCCTTAAATGTTGATAATTAAAAGGGTCCTGCTTTTCATACCTCGTATTCCTATAAAGTTTTCCACATTTTTTTTGTAACGCTTTATGTGCCTGGTCTGACCAGAGTTGGGAGAATGGTAATGTTTCAATTAGGCGTTCGGATGAGACATCCAATTATTGAAAATATATTTTAATGAAATGATTCCCTATAAGCATTGTGTAAATGTAAATAATTAAATAACACAGCATGCCTTCAGATCAATTAATAATTTCCCAATGTCCCTCGACAATTAAACCTGGTAGCAAAGTAACCATGTATTCAATATTCATCAATTTTGGTGGCTTCTCGAGCTAATTGACATGACATATTTTCATACTGCTTCACTGTTGCTTAACTCCTTCAGCAATATCTGCCTGAATACAGGGATAAACGTTGACTTAAAATCAGGAAAGGTACAGTAGCTTGATCTTATATTTTCAAAATTCACCCAGTCAAATACTGATGTGAAAGCATTAATAACGGGACATTAACCTCGACCTACTGTGGTAATCATGTTGTCATATCTGACTGGTCATATTTTCCAAACATTTGCATGGAAAATGCTGCACGTGCATGTAAGGGTGTATGATGTCCAAGTCTGACCGTTGAAGAAATGGTTAATGGATGTGTCAGCGTTCATGCTTTAAATTGATCATTCAGGACATAACTGGGCTATCATTACCGTGATAAACGAAGACATCACTTAGTTTCACTGCACACTGGCAAAGAAGCCCCAAAGGCAGGATGATTATTGTAATTACAGGACAACTAACTCATGGGAATATTACAGAAAATTGCACCTTTATTACGAAAAAAGTCATTGTTTTTCTCCCCTTTTTTTCACAACTTGTGATCAAGAGGCACGGAGCACACGATCCAAGCTTGTGAAGAAACATTTAGCAGACCATCCAAACATGTGAAGAGACACGTAGCGCACCATCCAAGCATGTTAAGAAATATTTAGCGCATTATCCAAGCTTGTGAAGAAACATGTAGCGCACCATTCAAGCTTGTGAATAACCATGTAGCGCACCATCCATGCATTTGAATAACCATGTAGCGCACCATCCATGCATGTGAATAACCACGTAGCGCACCATCCATGCATGTGAAGAAACACGTAGCGCACCATCCAAGCATGTGAAGAAACACGTAGCGCACCATCCATGCTAGGGGACAGACACGTAGCGCACCATCCATGCATGTGAATAACCACATAGCGCACCATCCAAGCATGTGAAGAGACACGTAGCGCACCATCCATGCATGTGAAGAGACACGTAGCGCACCATCCATGCATGTGAAGAAACACGTCGTGCACCATCCAAGCATGTGAAGAGACACGTCGTGCACCATCCAAGCATGTTAAGAAACACGTAGTGCACCATCCATGCTAGGGGAGAGACACGTAGCGCACCATCCATGCATGTGAATAACCACGTAGCGCACCATCCATGCATGTGAAGAAACACGTAGCGCACCATTCAAGCTAGTGGAGAGACACGTAGTGCACCATCCATGCATGTAAAGAGACACGTAGTGCACCATCCAAGCATGTGAAAGGGAAGGGAAGGCAGTGGTATTTTTAGTGCGACTTATTTATTAATCTGTAGGTTTTTTGGGAAGTGTTGATACTCTCTTTAAATACATCAGTAGAAACACGTGATGCTGACAAGTGTCTTTAATCATAATTGTACTTAAGCCAATACACACATGCATTAATGCAACAGGGAAATGTTCTATATTAAGAGATACTTGTTGCTTTGCTTAGCATGAGACAGAATATCTGACATCCATTTCATCTTCTCCATGGCCACAAAAGCAATACTCATCTGAGGCTCAGATCCCACAGGGTATTCTCTTCATTAGATGGAGTTTAATTAAAAATGTGATTATGAACCCTGCAGATTGAAATACTGATCAACAAAATGGAAATGCAAAAAAACTGCTTAATCATCGTCTCCTTTTGGCACAAATCATTTTCAGCATTTAGTTAAATACGTATTGGGATGGCTGACAGGATCAATCTGCAGTGACTTGTTATTGAGAAAATTCTCACAGAGCACTGCTTCCCAAGGAATATGTCATACTGTCACATTTCAGCAGCACATTCCCCCTTAAATTGCACTATTTGTTCTGCCACCCAAAAATCCCCAAATCGATATCAATGGATTTCATCCTCGTTGGCGAATATTTTCCATAAGGGTAAATACAGTGCAATAGAAAAATGAGGAACATATTCCTTCAACAGCTGTATTGGGAAACTCTGCGATAACGTGTAATCTTTTAATTCGATGATGTTTTCATACAGACAAAAATATAATTTGCTGCCTGTCACGCAGATTCAGACTGTACATGTAACCATTTTAGTTACTAAGGGGGCAGAGTGCTTTCACAAATTCAAACCGTCCACATCTCCACGTTCCTGTTGCGTGCAATGTTGTTCTTGCATCCAGAAGCGGTGACATTAGCACTTTCAGCAGACGTGTCTCACGCAGTGATGGTAGCGATTACCATTAAACCTCCAGCCGCTCAATCCCCAAAGTGCGAAGTTTAACCACCGGGGCTCCCCAAGGCACACACGTTCTCGAAATTCTGCCCCACGAGTGTACAGACAGTTTGTCGTCCAGCGTGACGTGCACATTTGCATCCTGTCACCGACCACCTCCCACCTGACCGTGGCACAGGAGCGGATCCTCGTGTGGCTGCTGCAGTACATGCAGGAGGAGGGAGTGTCCCTGGACGGCCTGGACCCGGACGGAAACAGCGCGGCGCACGTGGCCGCTCGCGAGGGCCACCTGGCCTGCTTGCAGGTGCCGCAGCTCCTCCTCCTTGCCTCGACACAGACCTCGGAGACAGCTGCACTTATCCACCGCAAACACTGTGTCCGCGGATGGTCTCGAAGTGCCATTTATGGAACATCGGTAGCAGCCCCGTAAATTCAGTTGCCGTTCAAACAACATTTGAGCCAGTCACTCGTGTTCTACGGCTGCAGTGTCTCCAAGAATTACATCTGAGGAGCAGTAATGGGGTCAGGTCCATTGCTGGTGGGAGCACATTCTCTAAAATGGTAATCACTGTCTCTGAAATCTCAAGGGCACTGGCTGGAGAGAGTTGGGGGAAAATTATTTTCCACAGGGGATTCTTGCTCCAACCACCAGTGTGAGCTGTGACCTGTGGACAGATGCTTAATTTGTTTTATGCAGGACCAGCAAGTACAGGTATTAATCTGCCATTCTTTAAGTTCATTTGAAAATAATATACAAAAGGCCCGTTGCATCAAGTGCTGAACTCGCTTAGGCTGATTTTAAACCTTAATTCTATTGCGATTTAAGCATCAAATACATCCCCATCTGGCCACAAATCTGGCCACAAATCTGGCTGTCGCCTGATGAAGCTAGTTGTAATTACTGGCAAAATCTCGTACTCAGATTGTAAATGTTGTACTAGTAACGAATTTGCATGTTTTGTTTACGTGACAAACCTTACTAATTGGCTGTGTCGGGTGGTGGCGGGTTTAACGACACATCTATATATTTACGCGCTCTAACACAAAAAATCCTGTATTATGGATGATTTTGGTCGCGAAAGCCTACGTGTTAAACATTTGTAGTTAGTGCAATTTAGCCTAATTGCGTAATTGACATATAATTTACATGTCATTTGCATAACAACAAATACACTTTAATTGCTACACACGCAATTCGATCGCGTGTATCATGAGCCTTAGCAATCGATAATAATCAACTCATCAATACCGTCGTTACACCGCGATATTTCAGTGCGCCAGGAGCTACGGCCTGTGGGAGTCTGCTGACTTTCTGTACTGCGTGGGAGGCGCGGTATATATAATAATGACCATGTGGACGACGGCGAACACTTCTGCTTGCAGACCTTGGTGGAGTACGGAGCGAGCGTGACGACGCTCAACAAAGTCGGGCAGAAGCCGCTGCAGTGTGCAGAGAAGCACAGGCACCCGACGTGTGCTCGCTACCTGGTGGTGGTGGAGACTTGCATGTCACTGGCGTCCCAGGTGGTCAAGCTTACCAAGCAGCTCCGAGAGTGAGTGACCATGAGCTCCCTCACTTAATTCTCCTTGAAGGAATTCAGCAATCCCATCTGAAAGTGGGTCGTGTCGTATCGCTAAAAGGGATTCAGGAACTTGAGGAGTCTCTCTCGCTCTCTTCAAATGAATGCCGAACATTTTACCCTCTAATCAGCATTCTTAGCCATTCACGTGCACCAGCAATCACAAAACTGAATAATATGATAAGGCTCCAAAATTATCCAAGCTAGTAATGACCTTTGATGGGTTACAATTAAGATCTTGCCATATAGGGTGCACAAGACTATATTTCTGGGAAAAAAAATGTATATGGGGTATTATTAAAAAAGGGATAGGGCACATCCTGAAGCCATGTCCATTTTAAGTAACCATAATTTCACTGCCACTGTCGTATATGTAAGTGCCTTGATTTTCTGTTTTATTATTCCCTGGGATTTTTTTACAGTGATAATTGTAATTATAGACATAAAGAGCAGAGCTAATGTAAATAACTACCAAGGATTACAGTTACAACCCTAATTTTTGTTCATATCCTAGAAGAAATTCCATTAATTTCTTCGCCAAATTTGTAATACTATACACATATGCAATTAGGCATGACTTTTTATCATTCCTGCGCATACTTTATCACACCCACGTTTGTGCTTTGTTTCATAATGAGCTTTTTGTTTATTATGGTCAAGCAACATTGATAAATGACCATATATTGGACAATTAAACATTGAATGATTACTGCAATTTCCATATGTAAGTGCCCTTTAATTTTCAAAAGAAACCAGCCGCTGTGATTTTTTTTTATTTACAAAAACACCAAAGTCAATATCGGAGAGTAGTTTTCAACTTGAAATTATTCGACGAATTAAATCTTGAATATAACGATGATTAATGTATGATTCGAGGGTAAAGGAAAGGAGGCTTGATGGTTACCAGATTACAACATTGCGCATTGCTTGTACGAAAAACTGAGCTGTATCGCCAAGACATACTCACAGTTTAATATTTTGCATGGCAATGATCACGAGCACAAGGTAAAGCCCGAAATGAAGCAGGATATGCAAACCACGTCAGCAATTGTTGCTGTAAAATAAATTTCAACTTTGAGCACGCTTTGTTATGACGTGAGGCTGGATTTTTTTGTTTTACATTTTCAAGTTGAGCCTCGGTTTTGTCGAGATTTCTTTTTGCCAAGGTATGTGGTGTGAGAAGGAAGCAGGGTGGTGGGTCAGTGGTTGGTGCTCAATGAGCAGCCACAATCAGCTTGTGGGCACAAACGTTGAATACAAAATATATGTTTACTTTACCAGGTAAGACCCACCGAGCTATAAAGCTCTTTTCAGAAGCGTCCTGGCCACAAATGATAGCTCAGTGAAGTAGCTTATCATGTGGAAATGTATTGTATCCATATTCGCTGAACGCATGTTTCTGAATGTGGAGGGGAAAAGCCGGAGGACCCCGAGAAAAATCCACACGACCACAGGGCGAACATTCAAATTCCAAATATACAGGCGTCAGGGTCGGGATAGAACTGATGATCTCCTGTATACCAGGAAAGGTAGTTAACATCTCGCCAACGTGGCACTGCATTCGAGTGGACACCTGGGTGGTGAATAGTCAAAAATAATTCCTCATGGAAATCGAAGCAGACCTTACTCCTCACTACACCTTCCTTCCATTGGTTCCTGAACAGATGCAACTGTGATGTTGGTTATATAAAAGAGGGCATAGCTTCAGGGTTCATATAATGGTGATAAGTGTGTGGTTTCAGGTGTTTATTAGGTCATTCTTGTAATTGGGTGCTTTGCAGGGCAAAAAATAGATACAGGGGGCATTCTTTGTTCTACTGCAAAACCACGTGTGTGGGAATAACAGCACATTTAATTGTGTGAGGGCACTTTGTTAGGTGCAAGTCAGCTTGAGCTCCGATACAGCCTCAACCCGAGGGACTGGCTGGGCTTTTTCCCAGTCATTGCTGTCTGAATCCATTCATTCACATAATGCTGTTTAATGTAAATGCGTTGAGCTGTTGGAAACTTTAGTTAGAAACATAAAGTACACATGTGGTTTAGTTTTATTATTTAGTGCTCATTAGACGCTTGTCAGAGTTGATAAGATTAGTTGTGTCTCTGTTTTTTAAGGGAATATTAAAATAACAATTGCATATTATGAAAACATTTTATTGTATCACCTGTCTTTGTTAATATACGTATACCTTGTGTATGGAATTTTAATGCCAATTTTTTAAATTAATGTAAAATTATACCTCTTTTCAATAACCAAATGTCCTCTCTTTTAAAACGAAAGGGCACAAAACATATTTAGATTTGGTTTAACTCTGGGTATTATGTACATGCTGTGCAATGAGGGGAAACTGATAGAATTTCCATAACATTTATTTTAGGAAAACGTCTGAAATTGTGAAGCTGCAGAGCCAACTGCAGGTCCTTACGGGTGGGCAGGCATCGGCCAGCATTCCAGACAAGGTCCACCCGGCACGGTAACAACATTGCACATCTGCCCACTAAGGGGAGAGACGCGTCGCATACACACACACACACACACCGCTTCACGTTAAAACGTATATAGGAGCTCACTTTACACACAATCAGCACATTGTTCACTTGCGTCTTTTTAACATTCACCAAGGAGCGCTTTAATTTGTTCTGCACGCGCTTTGGGAATTCTCCCTGGGTTTGTTTTCCTAAGATTTCAATTAATCGCATGCGGCATTGTAATTGCATGCAGTTGCAGAATAACAGTTACGCTGCGTAATATAAACATTGTACCGTGTGCCAAGGGTTTTTTTTTTCTGTTACGGCATCTTGATTTTGCCAGGTGGTCTGGATCGTCGCCTGATTACAGCAGGAGTTCGGGAAGCTCTCCAGAATCTACGCAGCTCAGCAGCGTTGGCCGAAGCGCATCACAAGAACTTGTAAATGCAAAACCCATTGGCAGTCAGACGGGCGGGCACGGCAGCCATCTACCCCCCAAAGCAGGCCAGGGATTGTTTCAGGGGGCAGAGGACACCGATACGGTGCTCAGAAACCTCCTGGGTGAGGAGATCTCTGGACAGATGCTAAAGGATGAGAAGCTGTCACTCGAGTTTCCGGATAAAGACAAAAAAAGATTCATCCAAAGGCAGCTGCACAACAGAAAGGCAGCTGGCCCTGGCGCTGGCAGGCCGGGCTACGTTGGCGGCAGCCCCTCCGACGGGAGACCTTCGAGCAGCTCCAGCACAGACTCCAGCTCGCCAGTCAACCAACAGAGGCCCAGGCCGCGGCCCATCGTGGAGAAAGGCGAGAACCTGCACTTTGTGCTCAAAAAGCACGCCTTCGATGGCGGCAGGGCCCAGAGCTCCTCGTCGCCAGACAGCGCGGGCCAGGGAAGTGACCCTGGCGCTTGGTCCGCCCCCAAGATGTCGCGCTCTGTCTCGCTGGACAGCGGCACGGCGCAGACGGAGGGCGGCTCGTCGTCGAGCGCCTCCACGCCCGAGTTGCGCTCGCCCAAGTCGGAGCGACGCTGCAGCCCCAAGAGCGCCCTCAAGTCGCCGACGTCTCGGGGCAAGAGCCTGTCGGGCACCAAGCTGCGTGTGACATTCGAGGAGCCCCTGGTGCACGTGGCGCCGCCACCGGAGCCCACGCAGCCGTCCGCCGAGCCGTCTGCGGACGGTGGCTCGGGCCCACGGGCCGGCGGCTCGCCGTCACGGCCGGTGAGCGGCGCCGTTGTTTATTGGCGTGGTCGCGCCGTCGGTGCACGTGGCGGGTTTCCGCGCCCGGGCCGTTTTCGACGCTCGCTTTTTGGCGACAGCACGCACGGCATGGGCCGCGTCGCAGTAGGAAATCAGCGCTGCGGCCATGTGCGGAAAAGAAGTGCGCTTTAGCTTGCTTATCACAAAAATGAATTGCCAACAAAACGACATTTGTGCAGTAATTAAGCTCTTGCATGTTCATTCCCTTCATTTAAATAGTATACGTAATTGCTCTTTGGCACATCTCAGAACTCCGGAGCTAAAGTGACTTGTCAAATATAATTACGCTGCTCTTTAATGCGTTCTTCGCTGCACGATAACTTGCACGTACGTTTACGCGATAATTGCTTTTATGCGAGGTACTTGCTTGATTGCACCAGAAATGCATGCTGAATTCTGGCTGAGCTTTGTGGAGATAACAAGCCCTGTGTGCTGAACTTCCAGGCTAATAACATCTACTCTGTCAGTGCATGCCGCATGCTGGATCAGAGTAAATGCTCAGGCACACAAAGGTGAGTGTGGTGCTGCTTCGGTAGCTTGTTACAAAGTAAAATTCACTTATTTTCCATAAACAATCACAACAACCTGTTTTACCATGGGTATTGCAATATAGTTTGATTGCCCGTACTCTACTTGATAATGTGTGAAGATGAATGGCATAATTTATTCACCTTGGAAATGCAAGCGCAAATGTTATACAATAACTGTACACGTAGCAGTGCCAACATACCGTGACTTAGTGGGTATTCGAGCTGCGTCTGTGTACCAATTTGTGTCTTTGTCCATAGCTTCCACGTAAATAAAAAAAACCCATCACAGTTTAATGAGAATGTGCGTTATACAGTGGCAATTCATAAAACATGAACAGTAGAGAAAATGAGTGTATACATTGAGAGCAAGTAAGGTGAGTGGAGAAGGGAATCCAAATAAACAAAATGATAAAATCGAGACGGAAAAAAAACAATCTAGATCTGAAGTTTTCGTGACTGCAGGGATCCATACTCTTTGGTTCTTTCGGTATAGTCACGTAGGTATAAAATAAAATAAATTAAATCACGACGTTTCAGAAGCAACACAAACGTCCGTCATCAGGTGGAACAGCCACAACAAGAAACAAATTGCTGTAGTGGGCTTCCGAAACGTCGTGAAGTTAATTTATTTTATTTTATACCTACGTGACTTTACCGAAAGAACCCAAAAAGGAAAAAAAAACAGTGAGCAGAGAGAAGGCAGCGATTTGACCAAAGATGTAGAGAGCAGAGATATTTCATATTCCAAACCTCAGCCTTTGAAGAAAAGAGCAAGGAAGAGAGGAGAGATGCAAGTGATCGATCTGCTGCTACTGCGTACAACTATTCACGGTGCACCTCGAGGTATCATGATTGCCATAAGATATCATGTCAGTTGTCAGATTATTTGAAACTGTCTTGGAACTGATGTTAATGTTATAACTAGAGGTCAATGTGGACATTGATTTAACAATTTTCCTTTTTGTTGAACGAGTCACATTTCTGGTTAAGAGGATGCACTTGAAATCCAGGTCAAGTTTTGATATTTCATGACAAGCGACATTATCGCGTTTAAAATAATTGTTAGTTCTTACACATGCAATGGGTTGCATGTTTCATAAACTTAGGAATTAATGTTAGTCGATGAATCTATGCATCATGATCATCACGGCGGCGAGATGTTATCTCCCTCGCCTGGTATGCAAGAGGTCACGGGTTTCGATCCCGACCCTGACACCTGTATATTTGGAGTTTGAATGTGCTCCCTGTGGTCGTGTGGATTTTTCTCCGGGTCCTCTGGTTTTTCCCTCCACATTTAGCAACATGCGTCTATAAGGTTTGGCTGCTATACATTTCCACATGTTGAGTTATTGTTTGTAGCCAGGTCGCTTCTGAAAAAGAGCTACATAGCTCTGTGGGCCTTACCTGGTAAAATAAAAAAAAATGGCAGAAGGATTCAATGCATCAGTAAGGGACCACCTCATCAACGTAAATTCAATGCAATCTCATTACAAATCACACACCATCGCATATATGTATATGCACATTAAGCAGCATGTCAGAGAGATGCTTATAAGGGTAATTCCAGAAAGTAAGTCCGCCAATATTATCTACTGTGAAGACAAAAATAACATGTAAACGTTACAACCCTGCCTAAATTAGTCAGTTATTATAATACATGTGGTGCTAGCCAATAGAGAGTACTATAGACGATGGAATGTCACCTGACAACATTTACTACTGCTCTGTGAATATTAAATATTTTTATTTTAATACTCCACGCATCTGTATTTAAAAATGATTCATTCAAGCAGGTGTCGCCTATGGGCATTAGGGGGGACCAATATTAGAATTGTGAGGAGGCTCTGTGTGGGTAGGGCTAGCGGTGGAGTGGATGTGGTCGTATGGCAGTGCAGGTGAGCGCGGTAGTGTAGTGGTTGACGTGCTTGCGCTACGAACCTGGCAACCCGAGTTTGATTCCCGCTTACGGCCAACACCCAGTAACGATTATCTGAACCGGTCCTGTGCCTCCCCTAGGTGGAGCCTCAAATGAGTAGCTGGTGCGATGTGTAAACATCGCCACTAGGGAGACAAAGGCGGCCGGGTGTGGTGCTGGCCACCCATTCCTCGTGTGCCGTGCGGGCCTTGATAGGTGCTCGCTAACAGCACTTGCCCCAACAGTCTGTTCAGGCTATACGGGGGATCTTTGTCTTTGGAGTGAGTGTGGCTATGTAGATGCGGGTGGTGCTAATAGGAGGAGGGACTGAAGCTCACCATGTGCCCCGGTTGAGCCTGACATAAAATGTGTAGCCGAACGTTAATTCTATTTAATAGTTCGCAAGGATTATAGACCTATTAACTTTGTCAAAATTATCTTAAGATTAATCATATTACACTGCTTATGGTGTAGATTATAATAAACACAGCGAAATAGGGTTACAATAATGAAAAGTTATGTAATTACTCAATGGAGATGGATTACTTATTTGCTTAAAACTTCACAACTGTTCTTTGTGAATTCAACATGGTTAGTGTATAAAGTAATCCACACTGACCAGCATGGTGAAGTATGGTCAATCAACACTCATGACAGACACTGGATTCAGGGGAAACCTGAATGCAGCAGTGGATTGAGAATACAAGCTGTACTTTACTCTAGCACAGTACAGATGTGTTTTTAAAAGATATTAAATAAAAAAATAAATCTACTTTGTCAACACATTTTACATTTCCTTTTCATTCTATGACACCAGTAGATGTGAGGGGGGGGGAGCAGAGGCAGCATAGGCGTGTGCGTACAGCTCAATTTAACCTCCGAGTTTTGTTAATGACCACGGCTGCCATCAGTGGAAAGGGACACGTGTCCTGGGATCCCTCTTCACTGGCCTGCACTGACCGGTGTGGGTTGATTTTGTCATAGAACCAACATGACTGACACAACGTGGAGAGATGCCTTCCTTCATCCAGCAGTGAATTATTATTATTCTTCTTTGGTTCTTTCGGTAAAGTCACGTAGAATGAGAATAAAAGAATAGATTAATAAAATAACACAATGAAATTCTCACGACGTTTCGGCCACAACACAAGTGGCCTTCTTCAGGTGACTTTTATTGTGTTATTTTATTAATTTATTATTTTATTCTCATTCTACGTGACTTTACCCAAAGAACCAAAGAAGATGAATCCTTGCAGTCACGAAAGCTTTAAATCGAAATTGAATTATTTTTATTTCAGAATATGTACATCTTGTACTAACGCGACCGTACACGACGTGAACAACTGCCACGAGGCAGAAAAGAAACACGTGACCATACTGCAGGTGAATCCCCAAGCACGAATTGTGATTGAATTGCAATAGCCGTAAACAAAAATCAGAGTGTGGAATAGGCAGGTGCTAAATGCACAATACCGTAAACAAAAAAGAGAAATCGACTCCGTAGGCGCTCTTTTATATCTTTCTTACAAACCAAGGTGCAAGTCACAAAGGAAGGCTTTTCATGGTGCAGGTGTGGCTAAGTTTCTGCATGACACCACCAACTGAGAAAGAGAGAGAGAGACACGAGAGCCATAGGAGATGGAGAAACAGCTGCCAAGATGAGCGCAGAAAGCGTCTCGTCAAATTGCGCTGTGCCAAGTCTCGAGAGTGGACGTGGTGGTTTAACGGAACGCTCACATTCCTTGGAGCAGGTTGGTTTCTATCAGCCGCGTATAGAGTCTGGTGAGTGATTCTTTGGAATATAAATGTTGCGGCACACCATCGCAAGTAATGTCTGCAGCAAGTGGTGTCCTAAGCGTTGCCAAGTGTTTTGTTTCGCAAGCTATAAAACCACCCCAATGATAGACAAATATCGCCAAAAAATAATTATTGTAATAATAAAGATAATTCTCAGCCCTTTGTCAAACTCACCACTGGATGAATGCCTCCACCAGCATGCCGTGGCAGTCATGGTGGTTGTTTGATCATACCGCACCAATGTGTGTTGGTAAAGTAGGCCTGGATGAGAACCAGTTGGGATATTTCTGTTAACCTGGGTTGCAGGCTTCACAGCAGAGTGTGATTACCATCGTTCTCCAAATATCCACAGTGTCGTCTTAAAATAATCCACTTGCACCGTAATTACTACATCGCAGAGTCCGTTGTGATTAATTAATATACATTGTGTGAATGCCTATGTACATATTTTATTGTTATATCCTCTGCCAGTCAATTCAATTAACCCATGGAACCTGGGTCTGTCCCGTGACCTCCTGCCAGTAACGAGTCTATGACTCTTCGCGTGGTTTCAAAGTCCACCTAGCCTGGCACAAGCGCCATAGCGACAACACTACCACATAGTGGCAAATGGCATCTATGTTGTTGTTTAATCTCATGAATTGCAATAATAATATGAATTCCTTACATTCATCGCTTAATGTCAGTTGTCGTATAATCTGATGTTATTGAACTGATGGTTGTTCAATATATACAACGTAAACGCTTATGGCTATACTCATATATGAAATTCATGATAATCATTGACTGTTATCGCCTGCCAGGTAATCTGCTCAAATGTTTTTTTGGGAAATAAACACTTAATTTATTACCTTAAATCTGTAGATGGACAATGTATATCCAATATGAGGAAATCTTTCAATCGGAAATTATTTCCCAAATTAATAATGCATCGTGTTTTTATCCCGTGTTTGATATAAAATATTGCATATAGAAAGTAATATCAATGTTATGATAATGATGATAATAATAGTAATACAGGTACACCAATTTAATATTGCGTTTACGCTTTAGCTCCGTATAATATTCACCTGCGATATAAAAGAGTTTGGCTTGACAATGCAACGTGTCTCGATGTGAATGCGTCTCAAGATGAAAACGAATGGGCGACCGGCACACATAGGGATGGCAAAAAAAACCACACGAGAAGTGGGGCCCTTGTTTTTCTGGTTTATAAAAATTATTCCAGAGGGGAGGCCACAGGGCAGAGAGGCGGAAAGAGATGACGGTA